TTCGTAGTTAATACACACTCATTTGCTCACGGTTCTTCAGTGCGGGTGGGGCTCAGCAGGGAGGGCGAGTCACCTGCGCCCCAGGTAGCCTATGACCGCGTTCACCCGGGAGCTAGGTGGGCCGTGGCATCCTCCGGGTCCCTCTCCGTGGCCTCTCCCCATCCAGTGGTGGGCTCCGAGCTTCCACCATGGTAGCTGGATCCCAAGAAGGTAAAGGAAAGAGCTGCCAGGTACCTTAAGACCTGGACCTGGAACTCGCCACTGCCAGCGGTTCCATCCCATTCTCGCCGCTGAAGCGGGCACTTGGCCGCCCGGGGGGCGGGGGAGCAGCAGGAGCCTGCAAAGGAAGGAAGACTTGTTGACTGTCGTATTTGGAGATTGCCTGCCACACGGGGTTGTAAAAATTGTGGTCTTTCCATTTAACACCTTAACACTTTTAACATAAAACTACACAATGACTATATGATGAACCTCCTTCAAGGATAATATCAATATTCTAAATTTAAGGTGGGGCCCCAAGCGCCCTTCTTGCTTCCCCCTGTCTTAGAGTCTGTTGCCCTGGAGTCTGTCTTAGAGCCTGTGAAGGAAGCTCTTTCTCTTTCTGAGACCTGAACGATTGTGTAATTTGTAACAGGCATCGTTCCTAAGGGCACTTGTCCTTCTCAGAGTCCTTGTTCTTTGGACTGTAGGGAAAGCGAGGTCATGGGAAAACCTGATTGTCTCCCTGCCAGGTGTTAGCCCCCCAGCCACCTCGCAGAAGTGCTGACCTCCCCCCACACAGCCTGCCCAGGAGAGTGTGATGGGGTCACTAGTCTGGGCGGGCGTGCAGTGGCCACGGCCTGTGTGGAGGGCGGAGTCTCACCTGTGTGGTGAGAGATTCTGTCTCACACACACACACACACACACACACACACACACACACACACACACAGACTTAATCGTGCCAATGAGCAACGGAGGGGACACGTGTAGATCTGAAATGAGGAAGATGTACCAAGGGGCTTTGGGAAGCTTGTAGGAGAATTCTGGGGCTTTGGGTAAAGTCCCTGCCAGGCGCTGCCATGGGGTGAGGAGATGGACTGAGCAGAAAGGCAGCCAGGCCAGGTGCTAAAAGTTGCATCAGCTCCCTACAAGACGAATTCCTGCGCGATCACACAGACTGCTATTTTGGGAATACAAGGTTTGGTGTGTTTCTAAGTTGTTCGTATTTTCTGTAATTAGGTCCTCTTTGGTCTCTCTTAGTGATTAGCACATTTTTAAAATGCTAGTCTGGTCAGCTGTGCTAAGAGGAACCAAGAAAGAGGTTTTGTGCAGTTCGAACCAGAGTTTTAAAGGGGAAGCAGCTTACCAACTGCCTGGCAGTGGGAGGGAGAGAAGGGTGCTGCCCACGTGGGAGGGCCTTGAGGGGAAGGCAAACCGAGGGCGGCTGAGTCGGAGACTCTTGTCAGAAACTCTCCCCACACAGAGATGTGTTTGTCAAGCCTGGGTCTCTCCCTCCATCCCCACAGCCTGTTACTCCCTAGTGGCCCAGACAAGTAGCAAGAAGGGACCTCGATGAACAGTGAGGAGGGAGACTGAACCAGGATGGGTGGCCCAGGGCTGGCGCAGGCGGGTAGCTATGGAGTTTGCTCCCGAGAGTGGAGCCAGCAAACAGAAAATCTGGTCTTAGTCGGGAGATGGGGTTCAATTTGAGCCTCAGCTGCTAGTTGCCGAACACTCAGGCAGGCAGGTTACCAGATCTTTTTTCTAGTTAACAGAGAGGACACACCGAGACTGCAGAAGGCCCCTAGGAAAGGATGAGTGCGGATGGGTGGGTGAGCATGGCCCCCTCAGCAAACTGGAGCGCGGGGCAGAGCTTAGCTAGATGGCTGGAATCTAAAGGAGAGATGGAGCTGAACTGGGGGTAGGGAAAGCCTGCGGTTGGTGCTTACATAAGATCGGGCAGCCACCCAAGCACTGTGGCCACGACACTCGGAAGACGTGAAGCATTCCAGCCCCGCCCAGGTCTGGCTCTCTGGGGCTGCCGCGTGAAGACCCTGAGTGGCTCCAGCCGGGCAGAGCCGGGCAGTCACTGAGGCGGTCCAGGTTCAGCCCTCCCCTCACAGTCTGCTCCAGCTGTCTAAACCTGAGCAAGACACTCTGCCAAAATTCAGTGGCTTAAAACAACAATCCTTCATTTTGCATTTTGAGGAGGGATCACTCTGCTCCACATGTCTAACGGCCCATGACTCAAATGGCTGGGGACACTGGGGGGCCAACAGGGCATCTCTCTTCCTGCAGGCTCAAGGCATCTCTCAGTCTCTCCTGTGTTCTCTCCGGCATGGAGGTCCCAGGGTGCCTGACTTAGAAGTGGCTCAGAGCTCCCAGAGCAACGATTTCCAGAGGCCCAGGCAAGAATTGCAAGACACTTGTCATCTAGCTTCAGAAGTTCCAGGATATGGTGATTTCAACCATATTTTATTGATTTAATGGATCGCTAAATCTAACACAAATTCAAAGGGAGAAGGTATAGACCTCACTTCTCAAAAGGAGTGGCAAAGAATTTGCCACCATTTTTAATGCATCACAGCATCTCACCAAATCCTTAGCCAAGTCTCCCAGCTGAATTCCCTGTCCCCAGACTCTCACTGATGGCAGCTGGGAGGCAGCAATGCACAGGACAGAAAGAGTGAGGGGTTCAGAGGCCACGAGGCCTGCATTCTGGTCCAGGCAGGATCCACCACTCAGCAACTGGTTGAGCTTGTTAGGTTACAACGTATCTCTCGGAGCCCTGGTTCCCTTGTGTGTAAAATGGGAACACGACTACTACAGTGGCCAAGAAAATGCATTTCTCAGATCTTCCAGTGCAGAGCATAACTGACCAGTGGCCCTGCCCCAGCTGCTGAGCTCTGATATCTGTCCTCTGATATTCATCTGTCGGTGGTGTCAAGGCCAGTTTCCTAGGGCTGTTCCTAGTCCACGACTAAGCACAAGAGGCCCATGGCTTGAAAGTACTGGACGCCTGGGATAGGCCAGTTTGCTTTGAGAACCCTCCAGGGCCTTGCTGAACTTTTACAGTTGCACTGTAGTGTAAGAGGCTTCCTTCCACCCAACCTTCCTTCCTTGCTTCTCTCCTTCACAAGGATCACACCTGCATCCCAGGTCCAGCTCTCTGTCCATCTCCCTCACAAATCTCTTGCCCAGTGCTCCCGGCTGGCACTGGGACAAACAGCTACATGCTCACAGGGCTGCTCTGGGTGTTAAATAAGTGGGTGTGTGTAAGCACCCAGCCAAGGCCTGGCATATAGTTGACATTCACCCCACTAATATTGAGTCCCTGCTGTGTGCAGGCTTTAGCCTGCCTGCCTGGGACACAGTGGTGAACAAAGCTGATGCCAACGTCAGGGCCACTGGCTTGAAGTTCTTGCTGACTCCCACGGCTGAGAGATAAAGTCCCAACTCTTCTCTGGGACACAAAGAGTCCTTCAAAGCCTGACCCCGAGGCCTCAACACCTCCCACTCCACCTGCGGCACACCTGAGCCTGTCATCAAAAGGAATTTCCTTCTTTCCTCCTAGGATCTTGCTCTTTCACCCCCGGTGTCCGAGCACACCTTTCTCTTCTCCTTGGAATGCCTCTGCCTTCCCTTGTTTGTCATGTGACAAACCCTTACACCCCAAACCCAGTTCAACTGTGGGGCCCTAGGTCCCAGGGCAGAAGGTGCTTGTTGGCACAGATCTCAGCGCGCACCTGGTGAAAGCACCGTTACATTGCGCTGCAGCTGCTGCAACAGTGTCCCGCTAACTTGCGAGCTTGTCGGGGCAGGGGCAAGGTTGTATCCATCCTGAGCGCCCGGTGCTTGGCACTTGGTAGGCCCCCAGCTCGTATCTGCAGAGTGGATACGTGAATGAGCCAAGGAGGCCCGGCGGCTTTGGGAGGAGAGCTCGGGGCCTGCAGCG